TTTTTTAATAGAGAAAATATCAGAATAATTGCTTGATAATTAACTATGCTGGTAAGGAAAATTCATTTGCTCACCGCAAATCAATATTTCATACTAGCATAGTTGATATTCTAATAAGTAATGAATTTTCATTGCACCTCAAACTATCTGATGAGTTTTTGAGTAAATTAAAATCGAAAGATTTGTGATGCAATAAGAAGATATCGCTGCTTTGAACCAATCTGAAAGTAATTTCATAGGCTATTATTTATAAAAATATCTCAAAAATATGCAAATTTACTTGTCAGCATTTGTGAACTGTGGAACCTAATTTTTGAAGGAATTAGAATTACGAAAAAATAAGTATACTGTGATGAGATTATGTGACTGGATTGTGCTCCCTATACTTTTCGTAAAATCGAGATCATCGCTGTATTTTCAACCCGATGACATGTTTTGTAAGTTTTAGTCTAACTTATATGGGTGACGAAGTTTTCAAGTAATTTTATAAATGCATAGTATCCCACATCATTGGATCATTTCATTTGCAAAAGAATACAGTTTCTGTTAAAGCTACAATATCCTTATCTATGGAGTTTTGATGTCTACAGGTAAAGATGATCTTTTCTCATAGATCATCCAACATTGCAACATCTTTTGAATAACCTGCATCCTGAATTTTTTTTTCAGATGTAGAGTGTATTCCTACTGCTTATTTAAAAGATTATTTGTACTATGGTAATGTATCAACCTATATCCGTGGGTCATTACTGATGACCACTACCCCGATATCAGTAACGAAATCGACATCATCGTTATTGGGTCAATGTGAAGTTTGGAAAAATGTTGGCAGTGCTATGACTCAATGGGCAGTAAATAATAGCATCGAGAATTATTGGTAAGGATATTTAAGTACTTCTAAAACAAATGAGGAATTAGTATTTTTGACAGCGTTCGTACAGCACGAAGGTATCAAAAGCAGTTGGAACATTTGATTCTGGCGGTATTTACATCTTCGCTGAGATAATTCCCTCCTTGAGCTTGTATGATGATATTGTTTGTACCCATTTTAAAATGATTCATTATTTGATTTCAGATAAGATATCACGGGATCAAATAAATCGGAATTTTTCATTTCACCCGTCCTAACGTTAACTTCATTTTGATCTAAAATTTCACACTTTCGGACTTTATTCGTTTTCAAAAATTGTTTGGCTTTATTAAGTTCAGGATATATCCAGACGAATTCATGGATCACAACAGTTGTCGAAATTTTGATTTAACACTGATAAATGATAATAACAATCGCCATCTGGCCATACACATGAAGATAATCAAATCCAATACGTCGGCCACAGGCCCATGGTGTTATGCTTACGATCCCGTTTGTTTCATCTCTTAACACAGAAGAAAAACTTTCACTTGTTTCATTCTATTAAATTGTCTCCTTAAGGAAAATAGAACTGAAGAGGACATCGACAGCAGCCCTACAACTTTTACTAGAGTCTTTATCGGCAGTATGTTGACCATAGGATCAAACATTCTTTTTTCACCCTCTAACCTTCGACGAAGTTTCCGCTATAATGTAACTGTAGATATTGAACTCAAAGACGAGATTGCCGAAACGAAACTTCGGCAATGTAATTTGCTCGATTTAATAATGAGAATTTAGTTGAAATCAAAACTAAAATTAATGATGCTAACTTCTTTAAAAAACCATATATAATGGGGTAGCAGTTAAATTAGATTAGATTATCAACGAAACAAATATCAAATTAGGCTGTTTATTTTGTGCCGAAGAATGCATTGTTATATTTTTCTATCTGAATATTCCATAATATTTTTTTTAAATTGTTAAATTTTAATATAGTTAATTTTGCATGTAAAACATTAGCATTGTGTTTGAGATTCACTCGAAATACTATGTGGCACATTGCTTCCCTGAATGTGTTGGAAGCAACTATCAGGGCACCACAGTTCTTCCACGTGAGTTTTTACTATTTACCCGTGCCTTTTGCCACAGCTATTTTCCAGTTTATATCACTTTCGCATTGCAAATAGAATGCCATTTTTGAGCTTTGCAGGTCGCACCAAAGTTCTGGCAACTGCAGATACGAAGCCGAACTACAATACAAAACTGATAGATGCGATTACCGTAAACGCTTTTAACACATACGAGTGGGGACCATCAACATATTATGATTCTGTATGTTATTTATAATTTACATCTTTTTTAAATTTATACAGTTTGAAATTTTCTCGTCACTTCCAATAAGCTTCATAAACCATCTGCTTAGAAGATTATCTCTTATTATACTGTTCGCGAAGTTTACTCTGATGTCATGTAACAGTTGGCTTGTAAGCAGTGGTGCTTAACACAGTGGTTTCTGTCTTCCGCAAACGACTTCATTATGGGAATTAAGATGCTAAGGTTCTTCTTGACCTAAAGCACAGAAATTAATTTGTTCGTTATTACCTTTTTTCCCAGTGTAATTATTTTTTCTGCTCGACAAAAATCCATTCGTCCATGTGTTTTGTTGTTTCTAGCATTCTCGTTTATTCTTGTTGAACTTTCAAAATGTTTTTAGAGGCCGTCAAGTCTGTTACTGTCAGCTGAATTTGAAAAAAATCGATACTCGATTTTCTTTGCTATGATTGCCGTTGGCACGGCTGTTATGATCTGCAGTATTTCATTTGTTGTTGCCCGAAATTACGTTAAAATTAAGGAAAAAGAGGTGAAACAAATCAATTATTCGAATCATACTTTTTTCTACCCAACAACTCTTCTATTTTACTTCTATTTCTCCGTAGAATTTTTTCGAATTGCTTGTAGAAATCTTCATATTTTTTAACAGTGAAATTCTTTAGGAAGAGATTCATGGAGACATACTTGATAAAGTACAATTAACAGCAAAGAAATCAACACCAGTTGCTCTTTCGGCTTTAAATCCAGCCGAAAAGTTGAAACAAGAAATGGGAACGCCCGTATGAAACAATTTGTTGCATTTAATTGTGTTTATTTGTGGCGAAAAAATAGTTTATTTCGAATATTTTTTATTTGGTTTGCATTGCAAGGAAACCTCTCTTCCAAATATCACAGGACGAAAAACTGAAGTTTTTCCAATGGATATGAGAATGATCTCCTGAAGGATGGATTAATCTAATCCAATGCTGTTCCATCGTTCTCGATCTTTTACTTCATACATTTAATTGACTGGAATACATTCCACTATGCCATTCTATTACAGCTGTTTATCTCTTCCACATAACGATCCCGATCAATATGTTTGTTTTACGTGTTTACCGAAAAAGAATGAGATTGATCGATACGATGAACACCATGATAGCCTTAAATGAAGTATTCCGGAATTCGCAACGTTTCGCTCTTATTTTAAATGAAAGAAAACGTGCTACAGAAGTATTTTAGAGCGCCTGAAACGTCCTTCTTTTTATTAATATCATTCTCGATCGGCCGTAATTTATGAATAACATCTTTCTTAACCCTAAGCAAGTATATACCAAGGTAAAACGCCTATGTACTAATATTATCGAATGGGTTTTGAAATTGGGATTGGACAAGTTGTTCGCATCAACAGCAGAACGAAATTTGGTATTCCTACATGAGATACGTTTGAGTACGTTTTGATTATCTAAGATGGGTGATTTGACAGTTTACTATAGTTGAGTGATTTAAAGAGAATGCTAAATATTCTTGATCCAGCGTATCATGTTGCAGTTGCATGATTATCAGGATCCTATAATATTTCGATTTAAATTGATTTAAAATGATTAAACGTTACCTTATGTTACAGTCCCTCTCAGTATTTTTTCCTGAGATAATTCAGGCACGCATTGTTTTTTCTCATACGCTCACCATTTCTTGTTTGAAAGTGGGAATCAAGGTATCATTTATTATTCCAATGATCCTTGTTACAAAAAGAGAAAATCTTTCGGTCTTGCTGTTTTTAGGAATTCTCTTTATGATTAATTTAGGAATTGGCTTAAGGCCACTTGATTTAGATTTGATTAAATGCAGCTAACATAGAGGTTTCTTCTTGATTATTCCACGGAATTTGTTTATGGTTGGACTCGGATAGTTCCTTATTATTTGTAATGATTGATGCTTAACTTCTAGCTATTTGTTCATTCCTATTAATCAATCTTCCGAGAAATTATCGGAGTTCAGTAGCCGACCGCAGTTCGTCTTCCTTTTGTTGATATACTTTACCTAGTATCTAACCTGGTAGCTTTTTTTCAATGAAGTTTTGATTCTAAAATGCTCCAGAATTCCTCCCTATAGCTCCTATCTAGATAGCTTCAGATTACCGTTCCGTGACTTAAAACATTTAGGAAGGTGAAAACTACATATTTCTTTTGAAGAACTTTTATTATTCATTTGTTTTTCGAATTTTGGAAATATTCCAGGCTGAAATGGTTTTGAAGGCAAATCCAAGGATATTAGACTAAATGCAGTATTGTGAAGAACATAAAAGTATTCTCGCAATTACTTCTACGATTTACTCTCACTTTTTACCATTTCTTTAATGGAGTGTAACTCATTACAAAGCAATTTCTTAGGAGTAGACGATTCTCCAAATTTTCCTAATAATACTCTTCGTATAACGGTATAATTATGTGAAACACTGGTGCATCATGATGGTGCCAGATATCAATGATCGAATTTCCTTTTTTTCCGCAGTGATATCTTTGGACTTTGCTTCTGCTGATTACTAAAAGGTAGTTTCAAATTCAGGTCTTGTTACCAAATTGAACAAAAACGGTTTAAAATTGAAGCATATCTTCTTTAAAATCCTATATTACTTCATTAATTTAAGTTTACTTGATTGCGTATCATTTTCTAGTTATCTCTGTTTCACAATTATATCCGTGATATGGCTACATTATTGACTTTAATTTGATGGTGCAGGATATCTTGCCGATTCCAGTCTTTGTCTATTACTGAGCCCACCGTTTTAGAATTCCGTCGATAATGTAACCATATCGTAAATAGAACAGTAACGGGTAATAGTGGATCCCTGTGATAGACTGTTTGGAACAATATTACCAGAAGTTTTCTTCTTTTTCTTGTCTTTTTATAAAAGATGTTCCTTTTATGCAGTGAAAAAGAAATTTTCTTGATTTCTTTATCAATCTTTTTAGCATTTGTTGTGGCTTTCCAAATGGAGCAATGGATTAAATAAAGTTCATTTACAAAATTCCATTAATCTTATCTATTTCCTCTTATTTTCTGTCATCTTTTCAATTCGTTTGGGCGATCTTTTCCAAATATTTCAGGATTAAGTTTGGATCGGAAAAGATGCAATACAGATTCCGGTTCAATTACATGATATTTCTAAATATCTGAAATTTTTATGCACAGAAAAGCTCCCTTATAAGGTAAATACTGCGACATCTTAAATGTCAGTTAATGCAAATACACAATAAAGGGATAGGGTTCTTTTCATTAAAAGTTCGCTTCTTCTGCTTCGTGAAAGTAAAGAAAGGTAATGTCGAAATTCGTGCATTTGTAAAGGTCACAGTGTTTCAGATCACAAATCCCTTATTCAATCGCTTTTTTATATATCTTAAAATTTATCTCACTTGAAAAAATAAGGAAGAACGATCTTTCAGTATTGTAAATGTTATATACTCTCAAAATTTTAACACTACAGTGGGGAAACAAAGATACTGAGAGTACTATTCTGCGAGTACTACAGTGGGGGAACAAAGATACTGAGAGTACTATTCAACTACTCACTATATTGTTGGAATAAATTGTTCTAAAATATGGGAAAAAGTAAAAATTTTGCGGAATAGAAGAATTTCTGTTTGGAATGTGAATATTTATCAATCATACATCATTTATATTTCCTGTCTTTTTTCAGCACTTCTATATTCCTCTTCAAGTATTGCCGTACTGGCCATCAAAATGTTCGTAAAAAATGAAATTTTTTGAATTTCTCATTCGAAATATAACATGAGCGCTCTTGCCAACATGCGTACAGTATCGAGAAATGAAAGGAAGTGCATTTCGGATATTTAAATGTGGTCACTGAAGGATGTGAAGAAATAGATTTGTGAGGTGGAAGCATTTTTTTTTTAGTTGAAAATTGACAACTAATTGCTTCGGCTTTTAATTTTACAATTTTCCTCTATCAGAAAAATTGATAGAGGAAATATTACATAAAATTTGCCATTCCTTTCCAAACACTTTTTCCAATTTGTTCTGATTTTCTTTAAGATGACAGCGAAGCAAACCATAGCAGCCATAGCAAGACAATCAAATCATACTAACGATTTCTATGAATAGTAATGAGCTTCTTGAAGACTATTCCTATAAGTAAAACTGATACACGTTCATATCATTTATATTTTATGGTACGGATAAGGCTCTCTTTTTTAATACACATCAGATCCCAAAATTTTATTTTATGCTGTGCAAAAGAGAAAGGTATAATCCTTTTTCCTGAGACTTGAATTTGCGTCCTTGTTGAGTTAAAATTGAAAAGGAAGGAGTGTTGATGAATTTCTTGTAAAGCTTCCACTCTACTTCAAGATTTTATGTTCTTCCATTTCTTTTATTGGTTATTACTCAATTTATAAATTTGTTCTTTGATGTACTGTCTCATATTCTCTTTTGTTGCATGAAATTTAAGGAGTATAAAAAATGTTTATAATTTTGGAGCTTTAATACTCAAAATATTAGCGAAGGCATAGATTTAATTCATGGCAACTGGTATAAAGACTTTGTATTATAAATATTTTATTTCCCGATTAGCACATTTATTTATAAATATGTCCAGTATTCTATCAATTTTTTAGTTATTTATGGGAATTGCAACGACAACATAAATCCATTAGTGATTTTAGCGTTACATCTTCAATAACCCCCCATTTTCATGTTCCTTTGTATCATGATTTTCCTTAATTGAAATGAAGTTTTAAACTGTATCAGTGTTTTATAAAATCGATTAGTTTTCTTGTTTTAAAACTTTGGTTGCATAATTTGCATTGAAGTTATTATTTGGCTGCGTCTTTTTTTTATTAAATGTCATCCGATGATGAAGCGCTATCAGCAGTACACATCAAGACAGCAATGATTTTGATACTTTGTACTGCAGGAATTATTGGACATGTCATTTCAATATATGTACTCTATTCAATCATTAATCCGAATAATCTATTCATGATTAAGCATGTCCCGATATGTTTCCCTTCAAGGTTTTTGTCTTACACCATTTTCACGCAAATTCTCAGTGCAAGAGACCTTTCATTAATTTAATTATTGTATAGAATAATTTCCAACTAAACAATTAATTGATCTTCAAAACTATCGAAAGTAACCGGTCATTTTAGTATCGTGTGTTTTCTCTTCATGCTTAAATGACCTTGAAAGCGTTTAATTGGATTGCGAGCTTTACCTACAAGGAAAAGAAAAACAAGAAAACAGGATGAAACACAGCAAAGCGAGAAAAATTTATTCCCTTAAAACTAGCTCGTTGGATTCCTATTTCCTTTTTTTATTTTTATTTTCCTTAATTGTTAGAGGCAAAAACACTGCGCGCCTAAAAAGGAAAATGCAAAAATTCTTGGCAAGTTTCTGCATCCATATATCAAAGAAAGTATAGGAAAACTTCATAGATAAATGCCCCGTAGTATAAGGCTTATCAATTATGATCTATGATCGTCAGCAACAGGAACTTGCTATTATGACAAATTTAGTATTATCGAACGTTAACTTCCTTTGATAGTCAAGAGTCAAACGCAAATACCTGCAAAATATCGCGGGCGAAGTTTTGCTTTGGAAGTCTACAGATGGAAGTTCGTTAAATTTTTTTTAACCTTCTCAAACTATTGAGCTCAAGAAAATTTTGACGAAAAACTTTTGGGATCAAAAATTGACCGGTTTGTAGGAATTATGTGTATTAAATTTTTAAAAGTGGACATCAGCCGAAGGGTTTTAAACAGCATTAATGACCTATAAAGTACTAACATTTCTGTGAAAATGAATTCATTCTCTCTTCACAGAATCAACAAATAGTTAGCAGTAAGTTCACAGTTTACTGTAATATCAAATCCTCTTGCACTAAATGACACCGTCCTAAATGAAGTAATATGCAAACAAGGATAAGCTGCTTTAAAAATGTCTGGACAGTTCATTATAAAGTTGTGTGGTTCATTATCCTCGTCTAAAAATGGTTTCACTCAAAATTCTGTTAAAGAACTGCTCAAAATTTGCGTCAATTGGACATGATCTATAAGAAAAATGACACTTACATTGGTTTTGTTTTTCTGAATACATCCTTCCTGGAGGCAAAAGTTGAATATTGTAAAAAAACTGACGAACATTCCTCGATATATATATCTTTTTGCTAAATTAATTAATCCTAATTATGAGTGCTATTCCGATAATTTCATATAAATCATTTCCAGTAACAGTTAAATAGTTGGGAAGGACAAAAGGATATACATATATTTAATTATTTGCTTAATATCATACCTGTTTTAATTTCTGTCAGGTAAAAATGTAACTATAATTTCCCTTATTCTTCTTCATTCATCGTTTTTCTACTTTTTTTTATTTATTCATTTTTATCAATGAATTAAAATAGAATAAATTCAAAAAATTAGGTCAAAAATTATTTTCTATTTTTCTTTTTATATATTTTATTGTTTTTAAGGCACAAAAAGTTGTTTGTGTTCTTTTTT